GCAATTATGATCCGCTAGGTGCCTTCCAGGCATGTCAACGCCTAGGATCCGGGAATTCTGGGAAACCATGGATCATTTTAAGGGGGAAAAAAACGAAGCTATATCTATTGTATCACCCCTTTTCCTCCTCCTCTATTTATGCAAAATGATCTACCGAGAGATTTTATTTTAATCATTGTTGTTGCCTTGTGTAAAAGTGAAAATGCAGTTGTGCGTCGCATCGGTTGTTGCAAATTATGAAATTAGTATTATGTGAAACGGAGTTAAAAGTGTGATTAAACTGGAGCTGCTGCAAAGAGCACACACACACGCACACACATGTGTGTGAGAGCGGCATAAAAAAAATACACCACCTGACTGCCGCATAATAAGACACCGCAAGTTGCCGGCAAGACAATGAAAGTCAACTAAGTGCCGCCAAGTCCACAATATGCGTGTGTGCGTCTATGCGAGTGTGCTACTGTGTGTGTGTGTGTGTGTGTTTGCGGGGGCAATTAATATCATTTCAAAGTGGATGCGGGAGCCACCGGCACAAAGACTCATGAGTTTCCAAGTGAGCAGTCGCCCAAATTGAAGTGCCATAGCCAAGGGGTTAGACCCATCGATGCTCAGGGTTAAAGAGCAAGGTTAAACCTGAGATTTTGATGCATTTTAAGAAATATTGGAGTTATTTTATAGTTAATAATAAATATATATCATAGTATATTAAATAACGAGTTATAAAGTTCAGAAACTGTAGAAAATTGATTTAAATAATTATGAATAGGATTTAATTAGACAGTTTTTTAGCACTTTTATATATTATATTATTAAGTCTGTATATTATTATATGAAATACTATTTAGTTTGTAAACTTTAGAAACAATGATGAATCTATTTCATTAAGAATGATTTGTACTAATTTTATATTTATTTTAACAAATACAGTCTATGAAATAAAACATTTTGTATTGAAGATTGAATTATCTATATTACTGTACCAATTTATCTCACCAAATTAAGGATCTGTGCTATTTCGAATGTTTTACAGATATTTAATATTTATTTTAATAAATACAAGTACTAAAATGTATCCTAAATGCTTTCAAAACACACAAACTAATATTATTTGCTACTAAAAACAATATTTGATTGGTTTCTTGCTGTGTGATTCCCATGAGATTTTCCTAAGCTCTTTATATAGTATAAAATTATAAATTTCCCAGCATCCAGCATTTGGCTAGATCCAGAGCATACCCCCCGTGATACCCTTGACTTTGCGACAAGTGCAGCGACAAAACAGCAAATAACAATCCGTTGGCTTATTAGCAGTGGCACTTAGAATCGCTGTTCAAGTCGAGCTTTGTGGCAGCAGCTGGGGCAGGGTGAAAGTCATCCGGCTGAATGCACATGGAGACGTTGCGTTGTTGTCACCTGTCGTCGTTCCGTGCGCCCACTTATCATTCCACCCCCGCCGCAAAGCCGCAAAGCCGCCTTGCCGCATTGCCGCAGAAACCGCAAGCGCAGTCAAGTTCGTTGCCTAAGTCTTTTGTTCTGCCAACAAAAACGACCCATGGCCCAATCACAGTTTCAGTTTCAGTTTGAACTTGTGCCAATCGAGGAAATTTCCTTAACAGCAGGGGCATTGGCCAAGGCTCTTTTTTTTGCAGATTTTTAATACATATAATTTTAAGCCCACGAGGCCATAAAAAATAAGAGCCACAAACTATATTATATTGTACATATATGTGCATCTATAGGTATAAAAGAAAATGAGCTGCTTCGCCAATTAATAGACCATGAACAGTTTGCTAGACGAAGAAAGATGGCGAGCCAAGAAATTGAGCTTCAGTCTTACTGTGATTAATGCACACTTATCAAGTAAGATCAAACAAAAAAAAAAAATAGAAAACAAAACTAGCTTCAAAGTTAATTAAGGAATAACTATAAATATATACATTATTTTTGTAGAGATTGTGAGTTTCTATTTCTGGCCAGAATCATCATCAAAGCTCCTAATTAATAATGCCACTGGCATGGATAATTTGCGAACTATTTAAAACAATTTGCAATCTCTTTTGACCAACAAAGAAATGCAAATATGGGTTTACGATATGCAAAATCATTACTTAACACCCTTGTTGTAGAGATATTTACAACACTTTAGGCACTTTGGTTGCAAATCCTTTTAAGACTCACCTTAGAGACGAGACTTTTTGAATATTCGTATTAATCCCAGTTGATTTTAATCCCGCTTTAAACTTGGTTTTCAATTAACTTCTTCTGATTATAAACACAAGTGATATATGGAGAGAAGCCAGTAGAGAACAGCAAAAAACACGAAACAAAAACAAACACAAAGTCTTAAAAGGATATCCAAGATATAGGAATTGTTTACACTAAAGCCGAGTATCCAAAATTGGGAATTTTTGGAAGCTGAGGGAAACCGGGAATCGAGAACGGAGGGTTATTTATCATTTGAAAAGAAAATGCACAAATCGCGACGCGACGCCGACAATCCGGGATCCGGCAAACACGTTTTCCAGTTACAACGTTGGCAACGGAATGATTTGGCCAAATCTGCAGCGGTCCCACCGAGGCCCGAAATTATCAGCCGAGAGAGCGAAGTAAAGGCGCCGGCAACAATCGCTTCACTCCCAGTCTCTCCCCTAGAGAGTCGAGCAGAGCCGAAGAAAGCACCGGAGAGAGGCTTTCTCTCTGAAGCAGAGAGATGGAGTGATGGAGAGAGCCACTTTGAATATGAATACCCTACCATCGGGGTCCAACTCTGCCGGCTTCTGTGCACATTTCCTCACATCGATTCCAATGGTTTATGGCCAACTTGGCAATCCAACCAACTTGTCCCATTAGAGACGGATAGATACACTCCATCATCGGATAGTTAGCTCCATCAGTACCATGGATAATATCCCGTCAATCCATTGAATAAGCCATGAAACGTTTACTTTATCGGTCCATCGGCTTTGCAGGTTGTAATTAAATTATAAATCCATAATTGTAGGTAGTTGCTTGACCAGCTTAAATTATATATAAATTATTACAAGGCTTTAGCAAAAATTATGCATATAACTTATTGCAAAGCTCAAACTAAAATAAGAAATAAATTATTGCAAGCCTTTACTAAAACCTCCCTAGTAATTAGCCAATTTGTAATAACTTTTCATCATTCATACTGTTTCTCAAAGATACTATTGTGTTAAATATAATTATGGTGAATCTTTAGCTTTCACTTTATATTGTATATATTGTTCTTTGAGGGGGCATATTTCATTTAAATAATATTTTTTACTTTCAGAGGGAGACCCCGAGCTCAATATCATATTGTATACTTAATATTTACCTATGTCTTTGTGTTCTGCCTTAAAAGAACACCAAAATAAATATAATTAAGCTACTGTACAATGGACAGTATTAACTTAAATATTTATTAACTTTGTGGGCAAAGTATTCTGACAAAAACTATAAAGCAGGCGGCATGTTTTCATGTTTTCCTCTGTGATCAGTAAGTATCTATGACTAGGAAGTAACTAGAATCTCCAAGTAACTATAATCAGTAAGTAACTATGATCAGTAAATAACTCTCAACAGTAAGTATCTATGAACATTAAGTAACTATCAGTAATTAACTCTGAAGAGTAAGTTTCTATGACTAACTATGATCGGTAAATATATATGTACATTAAATAATTATGATCAGTAAATATATATGAACATTAAATAATTATGATCAGTAATTAACTATGATCAGTAAGTATCTATGACCAGTAAATATGTATGATCAGTTACTAATTTTGAACAATAATAAACAATGACTTGCAACTTTTGTAACACAACACATATCTGATACTTGGCCGGCAGCAGTCACTTCGTTCCGGGGATGTTAGAACTAGTTGGGAATCATATGCACAGATGTGCGAGATACGTTTTGGAACAAATTTAAGAGCATGAACCTATGGGGTTATTCTTCTATATAATTTTATTAGTATATAGTATTAGTATATATTTTATTAGTATATATACAGCTTCCATAGGAACGATCGGATAATTTTAAGAAAAAAAATTATAACTTTTCCAGTTGTCAACGGATTTTTATTAAATTTTATTAATAACCATTATAAGCATTAATCTTGAGTAAAATTTTATGAAAATCGGACTAATATATATCCTACCAATTCCCGTAGGAGTACCATGACAACTAATACATATATTCTTTTAATCACATTTGAAAGCAACGCGTACTTTGTTTTTGGGAACGCAGAACACGAGTCCATATGAAACTTCCTTCCCCATTTCAAATACAAAATATTTCCCATTCACAGCAAGACTTCCACTTTGCCTCTGTCAAGTTGATGAGTTGCATTTCTGCATTTTCGGTTGCATAACAGGGTTCGTTCACTTTCAAAAAAATAGCAAAAAAAAAAAAAAAACAAAACAAAACCAAAAACCAGGTGGCCCAGGAGTGGTTTTTTTTAGTGGGATCACCCACGTTGCCACCTCCAAATTGGGCAACATCAGTCGACAGACTGGACGCACTGCGTCCACTTGGCTAAGCTTTTAAATCAATCTACCTGCACAATGTGTGAACCGATTAACAGATTAAGATTAAGCCATCGGAAGAGCCCAAAGGCAATCGTTCGGATGGCTAATTGCCAAGGTGCAATTAATTTTTTGGGGGCTTTTAATTAAAACCAAGGAAAACAAAGGCGAAGAGCGGAGTGGCTAAAGATAACGATGAGTTCAGCTTGAGGTAAGAGAATCTAATGATTGAGCGGAGCAAATTGATGCTTTGCTTTTTTTATGATTTTTCAAAAAAACAGAAATTGATTTTAGTTTGTAGTTATGATTTTCTTTGTTTGTCTTCTTGGTTCCGATCATTAGCCATAAGAGATGCGTAGAATCTGCACTATAAATTCAGATGCTTCTGGGGGAGAAGACATCACAAACCATTGGAACTTAGCTTCGTGTAGAATCTCAAATCTGATACTATCTCAACTACCAGAATGAAGGTGAGTTTGCCAGGAAGTTGAAGGAACTCAAAGGATTTCGTAAACTAATCCCGCACCTGAATCCCTTTTCAGGTCTTTGTCTGCTTGTTGGCTTCCCTTGCCCTGGTTAATGCTGGTGGCTTCCGCGGCGGTGCTGGCGGTGGCGGCGGCGGTGGCTATCTGCCCGGCGGTGGACGCGGCGGCAGTGGTCATGGCGGTGGCTTTGGCGGTCGTCCTGCCATCGGAGCTGGCCTGATCTCCCACGTCTCGCAGTCGCAGGGCAACACCAAGGTCCATATTGGCGGCGGTGCAGCCGGTGGTGGCGGTGCCTATGGAGGTGGCGGTGCTGGCTTTGGTGGCGGTGCTGCCTCCTATGGCGGTGGTGCTGGCTCTTATGGAGGCGGACGCGGTGCCGGTGGCTGGCAGGGAGCTGGACGTGGCGCTGGAGGAGCTGGAGGCTGGCAGGGAGCCGGTGGTGCTGGCGGAGCTGGTGGCTGGCAGGGAGGAGCTGGAGGTGCCGGAGGCTGGCAGGGAGGCGCTGGCGGAGCCGGTGGCAATGCCTGGGGCAATCCTGCCGAATTTGATTATACTGTGAACCATGCTTCTGGCGGTGCCGGTGGTGCCTATGGCGGTGGTCGTGGTGGTGCTGGTGGTGCTGGTGGCGCCTATGGTGGTGGCTCCCGCGGCGGTGCTGGCTGGTGGAACGATTAAGAAGCTATAAAGGAACCACCCTAACGAAATTAAATACTCCAACGATAACTGCTAAACGAATCTGATCAATAAAATAAAAACAAAAAAACTAAAAACAACCGATTAAGTTTGTGTCTTAAGTCTCTTGTTACTAAAGGAGAAGAAATTTCTGATGTTTACTATTTGTTTACGATTAACAGAAAGAAAATACAAAACGCCTATTTTCAAAAGATCTCTCATACTTTGTTAAAATAATAATAATAATTAAATAATAGATGTTTTAGGCACAATCAAGTTTTTGAACTCCGGTTGAAGTCTGTGATTTTCGAATGCTTTCATTAACAAGGAAAAATGAGAAATGGTTGTAACACAAGCTAATCGATGTTTTTCTATGTTTTAAGACATAAACTAGACTATTTTTCTACGTTTTTATACCCTTGCAGGCTATTATACTTTCCGTAATTAAAGAAATAAAAATGATACATCTTTTAGTTTTTAGCAAATTTATATTTAATTTAATTCAAAGCTATTATTATTATAGAATTTCGTGTTTAGTTGTATAAAAATCGGAATACTATGCAATATAACTGCCAGAGAAACGGTTGCTAAATGAGGAGGATCAGTAAGTATCTTGCAAGTAGTAAGTAACTATAATCAGTAAGTATCAATGAACATTAAGTAACAATGATCTACTGATCTATGATCAGTAAATAACTATGATCAATAAGTAACTATGAGCAGTAATTAACATTGAACAGTAAGTATTTATGACCAGTAAGTATTTATGACCAGTAAGTATATATACCAGTAAGTATGCATGATCAGTAAGTAACTATGATCAGTAAATATCTATGACCAGGAAGTATGTATGATCACTTCAACTTTGAACACTAATAAACAATGACTTGCAACTTTTGTAACACAACACATATCTGAGATCTGGCTGGCAGCAGTCACTTCGTTCCGGGGATGTTAGAACCGGTTGGGAATTATATGCACAGATGTTTGAGACTTGTTTTGGAACTAAGTAAGTTAGTAAGTACCTAAGTAACTCTGAGCAGTAAGTATCTCTGAACTGTAAGTATCTATAAGCAGTAAGTATCTATGAACAACAAGTATCTATGACTAGTTAGTAACTCTGAACAGCAAGTATCTATGACCAGTAAGTAACTCTGAACATTAAGTATCTATGAACAGTAAATAAATATGGTCAGTAAGTATCAATGACCAGTAAGTATGTATGATCAGTTACTAACTTTAAACACTAATAAACAATGACTTGCAACTTTTGTAACACAACACATATCTAAGACTTGGCCGGCAGCAGTCACTTCGTTCCGGGGATGTTAGAACCGGTTGGGAATTATATGCACAGATGTTTGAGACTTGCTTTGGAACTAAGTAAGTAAGTAACTAAGTAACTCTGAGCACTAAGTAACTCTAAACTGTAAGTATCTATAAGCAGTAAGTATCTATGAACAGCAAGTATCTATGACTAGTTAGTAACTCTGAACAGCAAGTATCTATGACCAGTAAGTAACTCTGAACATTAAGTATCTATGAACAGTAAATAAATATGGTCAGTAAGTATCAATGACCAGTAAGTATGTATGATCAGTTACTAACTTTGAACACTAATAAACAATGACTTGCAACTTTAGTAACACAACACATATCTAAGACTTGGCCGGCAGCAGTCACTTCGTTCCGGGGATGTTAGAACCAGTTGGGAATTATATGCACAGATGTGCGAGATTTGTTTTGGAACAAATTTAAATCAAGCTATGAAATTATGGAGTTATTCTTCTATATAATTTTATTAGTATATAAGTCGGAGCATGGCAAATCGGTGGATTATATATTCATATATACAACTGCCATATGAACGATCGTTAAAAATAGAGAAAAATGCCACACGGTGAATGAAACACTTAATTGTATTTTAACTAAATATATTTAATTTATATTGTATTGATTCCTTGTGATCGAAGTTCTACCTGCAAGGGTATATAAACTTCGGTGTGCCGAAGTCAGCTTACTTTCTTGTTAAATTTAACTAAACAATCAAATCTTTTACAAATACCTAAAATATGGAAGATACAAATACTTGTGGTGAGGAACTTTGAAAAGGTTGTGACACTTGCTAGTCGATGTTATTTTTTGTTTCTTACATGTAAAATTCATGTTTGGCGATGTTTTTCTATGTTTTTACGAGATTCAGTTGATTTATTATTAAATAAAAGTTTCTAATCCGTTTTTAGAAAGCGATTAGCTCTAAAAACGATCCTACTGTGAAGGAGTCGAAGGGAATAATAAAGGATATAGTGCATAAGGAGAAAATATATAAGCTAAGACCAGCTTCTGAGTTTCCTAAAAAATGTTGTATAATCTGCTTTGCTAATTTTATATTAACACATGTTCAAAGAACTTGAATCTCAAACTCATTCAGGTATTGAGATTTTTGGAACCTTTTTTTATCTAATCTTGGTCTACGGACCAAAATGTTTTCGACAATGCCTAATAAATAATATTCTTTGGAAATAGAATTAATAAATGAATTATTTTGATTCAAAAGATTAGCGAAATAGATCATATTTATGTAGAAAATTTGTTTTATTTTCGGATTAACTAAATGGATTGATCCCAAAGCCTGATCCCGATCCCCAATTCCATCCAGCTGTAATGGGAGTGAGTCCCTAGAATTCTGTGCTCCCTTCGATCCGATGGAGTCAGCTATTTCTGCACTTTTCATTGCAATTAAGTGGGAAAATGCTGTTGCTATTATGGATGTATGCTGGGATGTTAATGTTCGTGTCTGCACCAAAGCAATCTAAACAAATAGGGAATGGAATCGTATGAACTGAGCGACTTCCCTTTAAGCACTGTCAAAAATAGTTATTATAAGTAATATCTTAAATTGAGATTAATTTCCCTTTAACTAACTAGTATATAATAACACATAAAACACTTCAAATAAACTTATTTCTTCAGCATAGGCGTTGAATTAGTATTCCAGTTGCAATGCAACATCTGTTACTGATCAAGGAAGTTTAAGTAAGTTCATTAGTTTATTTAATTTCCAACAAGATGCTGTATTATCTTATACTTTTCCCTTTTGATTTCAGTGCATGCGAACTGGCACGAAAAAGGAGTTTTCTTGGGAGGTGAATGGAAGGAAGCCAACTGTGAAAACGGTTCCCCAACGTCTCGCAGGGCGTCTCCTCTCAACGTCTATAAATAAGCCACAAACAAACACGAAAAAAAGGCAAGCAAATATTCCACCAAACAGCAGGGAAATTGAAATGGTATGGAATCATCGTTCCGAGTTCGGGATGGAATACTTCAATGTTGTTTTCTTTAAAAATAACAAGACCCTCCGAACTTGTCAGCATCGCAAAAACGTGGAAATGAAAGCAAGAAAAGCGGGAAATCTTGTCACGCTGTTCACCAACAACTTACACAACTTGCACTTTTATGACTGTGATGTACTCTATTAAATAGTGTTTTCAATACCCTTTTTCAGAAGCAATTACTGAGAGGGGCTCAGACTTTATGTTTAGATCGATACTATCAATATAATTAAATAAATAATGAAAGACAGAAAGGACAGTTTCCTATATTCATCAATATTTTAACGTATAATGTAGTATTAAATTTAAAAATTTGATATGTCGATGTTAACGATGTTTTTGATAATCACCATCTTTGTATTTTGGTTTATTTTGTTTAATTTTTACTGAACTATTTATAATCTTATTTATATCTTTATATTACAAAATCCTATACGTCTTTTCTATTATTTAAGCTTGTAAAGTCTTTCTAAAATATATATACTTAAAATTGTATATATATAAAGAGTATTTCTATATCTTCATTGTCACATGCCTGATGTCTGGTTCGTGCTGATCTATCCAGGCATGGGACAACACTCAATCGCCTTGACACGCGCTGGTGACAGGCACAAATCAGATGAAAAGACTTCGCCAAGAGCCCAGAAGATTAACCAAAGCCACTTGATCCGTAGTTTCCCATTCTGTTCTGCCTGCTCCAGGAGGAGCTATGTATGTCCATCTCTGGATGGAGCGGGGTTATGGACAGGGAGTGGAACGGGGACGGAGACAGGGCGGAGACAATTAAAAGGCAATTCTAGCAATGCGCCTGTTTGCACCTGCCGGCCAGATATCAGCGACAAACGACATTGTCAGCAATGAGCTGGCCCAACATGATGATTACACCTGTTAGCAGGGAAGATATTCTTATTAAGAACTAAGAAAACATTCTCACAATTTCAAGAAAACTTTAGAATTGATCTAGAATAATTTAAATAGAAATAAAGTCTTAAAAAGTTGAGAAATTGAAATTTAACTCATTAGAAAATAATTTCAAAGAGTAATTTATAGATAAAACTGCTCATACTGCCATATAAAGTTCCCGTTTCTGTGTTGTCTAGTGTAAAAATAGTAAAAATAAACACAAACATCGCACACATGCAGACATGAAGGCACTCCGAAATACTTGAGGCAAATTATGTTGAGTCTGGAAGCAGAAACATATATCTCTTGTATTTCATTCTCGTCGCATTTCCAAGGTGCTGATGCCGGTGACAATGTGGAGCATCATCAACCCCTCTTGCTCCACCAAATGCTCTGCTTCTGTTCAAATTTAAGCTGTTAAGCCGCCGCTGACGCCTGACAGGTGGCAAGAAGAATCGTCAAAGATGGGCGAAGAATTGCGGCTGCAAAAGACAGAAGACATTCTCCAACATACCTTTCTTCTAAGGCGCGTGCTGGAATTACCAGAAGGAAGCTGGAGCAGAAGTGAGCTATGCCAGCAAGTGGAAAAGAGAAAGAAAACTGCTAGATGCTATAGGAAAAGCCAAGAAACCCAAGAAAAGGTTTTGGTATCATTGAGAAAATGGGTTTCTTTACCATCACTGTGATGGCACCAATTTTAGTTGGATTTTAGCTAAAAACTTATAAAGCAAACTAGTTAAATTCGTTAAAACTGCATAAAATTTCTACTATGTGTGGTTATGATTCTCAACTAGTTTTGGTATTTCTTTGGAAAAACTCTTGATATTGTTTGTATAATACATTTGATTTTAAAATTGCCATGAGATAACTCGAACATTGTATTCTTTTAATACCAGAACCCCGCCTTGATCAGAGTTAAGAGAACAACACTGATTCGTTCTGTTCCGCTGCTAGTTAATTTGATTGCCACGTTTTTCTTGTTGCCATAGTTACGGATAATAAAAAAATCACCGAGATTTATGGCTTTTAAATTTTCATTCATCCCGGAATCTGGCTGATTGCTACCATACCGAGCCAAAAGCGGATGCACAAATCAATTGTCACTTGGGGAGTTACTCGTAAAATGAAGTCTTCAATAAAAAATGTTCTCCAGTGATTGCCTTCATCATGACTTCATGGCTTTCCCACTCGCTCTCTATCTCTCTCTGTGTTTTTATTGTCTGCAATCACTTTCATTAACTATTCCAAACATACTTTAACTCTACGATTTAAAAACAATTTCAAATACAAGCTACACGCTCGAATAGGTATTCAAAGGTGCCGATCATGAGTCACATATTGTCATCGCCCGACAATTGCACGAATGAGATTCATAAGCTCTCTAATCTCTCTTTTGAAAAATATATTTTTCATTCTATTTTCGCATCCCATAGTCATATAATAGATATTGAAAACGGGAGGGAGAGGAATTGAGTGCGAAATAATGACGGAAAAGCTTCTATTGAATTTTCTCTGAGTAAATTGCTTTGATGCCATGAATCATGAATGATTGATGCTTTTAATGGCAAAGGTATTTACTTATTTAATCGCATTTATAATTTTGTATTGCATTTTGTTGGCCATATTTTAATTTAAATAACATCAGTCGAATAAATAAATATTAGAAAGATTGTATGCACCATCTTTGGTTGCTGGAAATTAGAATTTGTCATAAAGCTAAATGATAATGGATAAACGAGGGAAAATTTGGCATTGATATTCGAGAAAAAAGGTATTAATTATTCAATTTTATTCATTGTTTAGCTGGTTTTATTCCTTAAAATTCTGGATAATTTTGTACAAGCCTATCGATAAATATCTATACAATTTGGAATTTTAAACAGTTTCTTAATTGATAGTTTCTAATTCACTAAGCTAAGAAGAAACCTTTTAATACACCTTGGTAACCGATAAATATCGATATTTAACGATATGAAACCTAAACCAGAACTGTTATTGTAAAGCTCCAAGTGTCTCCCCCGCCCATTTCAGGTGGGCGAGGGCATTTGAACTTGGCCGATAACTTTTTAACGTTAAGCTTTGGCCTCCGCCAGGGCTAATTCCCTCTCCCCCTCTTTTGGCCACATTGCTCTCCCTGTCCCTCTCACTCTCTATTCCCCTCTCCCTCTCTCTCTCTCTCTCTCTCTGTCTGTTCTCACTGACTGAAATGTTGGGGATATGTAAATGAATTAATCGTAAATAGCCAGAGTAACTACGAAAATATTTACATATGCGTAAGTGGGTGTCGGCAACCCACACACTGGGCACACACACCAAATACACTGGGAATATTAAGATGATAATCATTATTAATCGATATTTTTATGATATATTATATATAATATGTATATGTGCGATACATAAACATATTAGCATAAAATAATCGAATGAATACACAAATAAATCAAAATAACGTTGAAGGTATATATTTCGAATTTATTATTACCATTTAATGTGATATTTCTCGACCATCAAAATAACAAAATATCAAATTTTACAATATTTGCAATATTATAGTGTACTCAACATTTTTTGCCAATTTTTGATACCGATAATTGCCTAATCTTTTTTTTACTTTTGGACTATCCAACTGGTTTGTTTTCAGTGCACCTAGCATGGCCGCCACGTGCAGAGAGTGGCACAAAGCTCGGGCTCCAAAGAGCGTTAAGCTTTGTGGCGGCGCCTACGTCACTGGGCCCTCTTTTCGGGGGCGAGAGAGCTTTCGCCTTGTGCGCCTAGAAAACAACCCCAAAGCGGCATCGCGAATCAGTCGCAAAAAAGTGCCCGTCGCCAGAACGCTAAGAAAACAGCAAATAAATTGTTTAAATTGAGATAAATAAATAGATTCGAAATAGGCATTGTTAACAGAAAGAGAGAGAGGTGAACGTTGCAACAAAAAAGAAAGAACCAATAAATCGAGAAATAATTAAACATAAAACAAAAAAAGAACTAAAAGGATATTAAAAGGTAGTTGGGAGCCTTTTTTTAATTAATACCTTCTTATTTTTTTGCTGTGACTGTGTATGTTTTTGCGTGTGCAAGTGTGCAGCCTCTTGCCCCCTCTCTATACAGTTTGTTTGTTTGCCTTTTTATCTTAATACTTGTAACTATTTACCAAAGTCAAGGAAACGGCCAAAAGGATAAAACGGAAGCGCCAGCCCCCCTCTGAGAACGTGTGATCCCCATCCATCAGTCCATCAGTCCAGTCATTCCTTCAGAAAACTATCCCGAAATCCCTGAAACAGGAAAGCGACAGGAGAGAGAGCGCCAGGAGAGTGAGTGTGTGTGAGCGAAAGAGAGAGAGAGAGAGAGAGTGGGAGAGCAGGAGCAGGATCCACACACAAACCAAAACACAACAAACACCAACACACGCAACAAAGATGTCATGGAGATATGCGGTAAGTGGAAAGTCAAAGGACAACAAAGGGATTCGGGGCAAAATCGGGGGGAAAAAGTAGGCTAAGCAAAACAGGAATAGTCATAAAGTGCTTAAAGGACACGGCGAGAAATGTCTTTAAATTCATATAATTATTAAATTCTTTGATTAATATGAATTTAATATAATATAAAGGTAACTCAAGGATGTTATTCATAATATTTGTTCACTGTAAAATTCAAGAATTCAAACAAAATAATAGAAGGCTTAATGTGCACTTATTTATTCTTTGAATTAAAGAGTATAAAACTCTTGGGAATTCATATTAATTTGTTAACATATACTTTCCAGAAAACCCATTAAATTGTTGCATAGAAAATATATTACTTATGAAAAGTCACGCTCCTCATTTCCCGTTTTTGGAATAAATCTTATGTTTTGAGAGGAAAACATCACGTTCGGTTTTCCAAGTTTAATATATTTAGATTTTTCCTCTAAGACCTTCTGATTTTTGTAAAGTAAATAAAACTATGATGGATTTAGTATGATAAACAATAATCAATTTTTCCTGAATATTTAATTAATTAATGAATTATTAAACATGAAACTATATTCTCTACGTTTACAATTTAAAAACCAACCAAGAAATGTTGAAACTGGAAAACAAGTTGATGATATTTATATTTTGTTATACAAAAACTACATTTTTGTTTTCTCCAGTGTGTGTGTAGTGTGTAGGGGTTCTGGTGGGGGGCGTGGCACATGGTTGGGTTTTCAAGTGTCGCGTGGCAGACTTTTTGACGCTATCTCGGGCATCTGTCAAAACCAGCTGATGCCTGATGGCGAACAGTGATGACCTTGACTGGCCTCTCCATGGCTCCACATGGCTCTTCCTGCTCCGCTGACCCAATTTGGCCACCCCCCAGCCCTTGTCAAGCCACCCAACCACCCACCACTTCACCTATAAACCACAAAAAGCAACGACAACAACAACGACAAAAAAAAGCAAAAACCTGGCTAAGAAAATATAGAATTTGTTCTATTTTTTGTGTGGGACAGAGAGGCCTTGGCACACACACACACACACACACACACACGCTGCGCCCAGCTGAAGGCCTCTAAATGCAAATGCAAAGTTCAAGTGCCTTTCCAAGGCGTGGCACCAGCCTCAAAGCCACCCTTCAAGCCACCTGTCTGTGGCATTTATCGGGCGATTATCCTAGCATTAGCTTGGTTTTGGCGCCTAATTTTTTGGGTCACCTTTTTTCCAGTTGTCCTTGGAAACAAAAACGCTTCAAGGGAACAATGTTCTGTCCTAAATTGATGCTGCCTACATTCCAAAAATAAAATATCCGAAGAGGTTTAGCCTTTAACCAATAATAGATATTTAAACTTCATCAAAGCGGATATTTGGTTAATATTTTAACTTTGTTATAAATCAGTTTGTTGCCGAATTAATACTTGGGAATTTTAGGCGTAAACTCTGCAACATTTTATTATTTTTAATATAAATTGTCATTGTTATTTTCCTAATTTCATTAAAATACATTTTATTATTTTAAATTTCCCAAAAACCCCCCAAAAGGTTAATTTTTATTTTAATTTCCTATTTAATTTTAATTAAACAAATAGTACCTCCCTTACTCATTTCCCCTGATGGCATTAGGCTAAACAAATTAGTGACACTGCATTGGTTTTGATTGACCCAAAAAAAAGGGGCGGATAAATGGTAATAGGCTTTTGGCTTTTGTGGGCTAACTAAGTCTGATTACTCATACGCCGCATGGGCCAATTAACTTAATTATAAAACGAAATATCCAGCAGCTAAGCAAAATTAAAATCGAGATCCAGTGAAGCGAATTAAGTTGCATCAAATTAATTGCTCGGCTTCCGTGTAATGTCCATTGTTAAGTGCTTTTAAATACCCATTAGCTGTATGTATATATATATTTCTTTTTATATATGTAAAGGCAGAGCTTAGCTAAAATGTCAATGTCATCAGCGTATTCCTATTTCTGTGGGCTCAGTGTCGAGCCCATCGAGAGCGCTAATTGAACAATCGATGAAGCACTGTCTATATATATATATATAGTATATAAATATATATTTATATAGTAGTAGAAGTAGTAGTATCGTAGGTAAACACTATATACTATATAAAGCTGCTTTGTGTGGATTGTGGGCGTGCCGCATCGCAGCTGTTGCGCCTGATTGAGCAGAAAGCGAAAGGCAAACGCTTTAAACTGCACTCAGAGAAAAAATCAGGGCTTTAAAGGATATGAACAAAATGTTAACAGAACACTTTAAGCATCCGCTTAAAGTTCTAACTAAATTTTGTACAAATTTGTTAAAAACTTTTGAAACTAAAGTCCTGAAGAAGCCAAGATTCTTTGTTCGCCTAGCTCTTCTTGGTATTTAATAATAATTTTTATTTAATTATATATCTAATCTATATATATTTTTTTTAATTACCACAATTTTCTCTGAGTGATTAAGCTGAAGCTGTGGCAGAAGCCAAAGGCGGCTACTTGAAAGCGTTTCCCCATTTGGCGCGAACTGGAAACCCACCCAATTTGCTGTTTGGCCAAAATGGGGGGGAAGCTTTGTTCCCAAGCTCAAGGTCATTCGACGATCACTTCTGGCCTTGAGATCACTCGTAGATAATTGTGAAAAACAGTGAGCTTTTCAGGAAAATAATGTGTTAAATAAAAGTTAATTAACAAGTAAAACCAATTGAGAACCTAAAAGTGATACAAAATAATACATGACTTCTAAATCTTTAATCCATATATATTATTTGTATGTTATTTATTATTTAGTATATATATCATTTGGCAACATTTTCGATTAAAAATAGTTCCATTTTACCTTAGGTAAGGAATTCCCTTAGGCAATGCCTGTTTTGTCAGCAATTTGCATTCTGTTTTGACTTTAAATGAGATAAATATATAGTACAATATATATATGTATATAGTACAATCCCATAAACGTGTCCCGCCTTAAAAGGCATATTTAAGCATCAACTGAATTGCGCATTTAATTGAAATTTAGTTTTGCAATAATTGAAATTGTTTTCCTCTCGTTTTGTTGACTTTGCTGGCTGCCAAAGTTTTTCTTGCTGAGGAATGTCTCTTTCAGTTTTCCTCTTCCCTCTGGCTTGTTTTTTATTTTGTGTTTTTTTCATAATTATCTGGGAAATTTTGTTTACATTTTTAGGGCGGACTGGCGGAAGAATTTCTGTTGGTTCGTTGACTGTTTAATCAATAATAAAAAAAAAAGAAAACAGAAAACTTACTATACTTGCATGTCAATGCGATTTGCATTTGTCGAGTGCCCAAAAAAATGCTATGCAGATTATACCAGGCACAGGCACATGTCTGCCGATATATGTAGATATATATCTGCAGATTTATACATATGAATATGTATGCCAAATACGTATAGATTTATCAATGCCAAAATACTTGTAAATTTCTCAAAGCTCGCATATTAATTGTTGCTGCTGCTGCTTTGCTCTTAATGTTTTTATGAACATTTTCAGCTGAGAATTTTCACACTTGAATAATGTTTTTGGGAATAAATGTATATCTAAAGTATATCTATTTTTGGGGAAAATTTTCGTGCTCAAGGCCGAGCCAGTAAATGCCTTGAATGTATTACAAAAAGATTTAATAAATACATATAGATACAAATTGTTAGAGAATGAGAGCAAGTTCGCATATAACAAGCAATAAAATTATTTTTTTAACATTTCATGGTATAATAATTTTAGTCAGAAGCTTAAAATTTAATAAAGGAATCATTTCCGACCCTATAAATCATATATATTCTTGATCAGCATCATTAGCCGAATCGATGTAGCCATCTCCGGGGGAAAAATAAAATTTTAAAATTTTGTTCAATTTTTTAAAGGGTTTTATCATTAAAATTCTCAAAAAAAAATCAACAAAAATTTAAATAGTTTTATACTTGATTCTGAGTATGCAGATTTATTAACCTTATAAAAACTAACATTGAACAGCTTTCCGAATGTAAATTAATGGATTTTTGGCTTAGTTATGCGATTTTTAAACTTTGACTTTTTGGAAAATTTTTCATATAAATATATCGATCTAAATGAATGCAAATATTTTAAGCTTCGTTGAATAGATTTCCAATTTGATCCTATAATTCAATTGCAAACTGCAGAGGTATATAACCTACGGCTTCCCTAACATAATTTCGTTACTGGTTTTTGTATATTTTCCTTTTAAAAAAATTAATATAAAGCCATATCAACTAGTTCTCTGGCCATTTAATGATGTCATAATCCCCTTCCGTTGCCGATTGATGTCCTTTGGCACCTCCGGCGGCGGGCTTGACCTCTGCTCTGACACAGTTCTCTGGTTTTGTTTTCCTTTATCTGCAGGAAGTGCAGCAAACTAAATGCAAACAAAAAGGACAAAACAAAACAAAAAAAAATAAGAGCAAAATACCATAAGAGAGGAGAAACTGTGTCAGGAGGGAAAAGGACACTAGGCAGCGGCTAGACAATGCAATCAACTAAATAAACTAAAACTAAGGCAAACGAAGAAAGGATGTGGGTTCAGGGCGGCAGTCCGTGAGGGGAAATTGTGTGGTTAGAGACCTTTGTGAGCTGACCATTTACCATTACTCAATGGTGTTTCCTGGGCTTAGTTAAAACTTGGCAGGGTTTACAAAGGATTTAGTTATATCAGAAAATTATTATATATACCTTAGATAGTCATAATAATTTTTAATTTATGAAAAGTACAGAAAATACTCATATAATATGATATTTTTTATCCAAATTAAAGCTTTATAAATGCTGTAAAAGGCAACTTGTTACCCCAATTTTCCCTCTCTAAAGTTTTCCACGTCTGTGGTGCCTCACCTCTCAGGTATTTTTGGGCTGTCGACTCGCATTTTAAATCTGCTATATGATCAAATACAAATGCTTTCAGAGCTGCCAATAGCTTTACTCACACGAAACGCTTAGCTAAGCCATTTGTGTGATAGTGATGGTACACTTGAAGAAAACAGGGAGTTGGTTTTGAGGAGCAAGTACTTAATTAATTTATTGTTGTGCTAAAAAATTATATTTTTAACGATTTAGAGAGTAAAAGGTAAACAGAAGCATCTCATTTCCCATAAAGTGTTTAAATTCATCATTTGTAAGTTTTCTCTGTCCGTTTGTCCGTCTGTCCGTTATCCTTTTGTTATTTTGATATATTTTATCTACAAAACTATCTAACTTCTTATCATATATGATATTTAATGTTATTTATCGGATATATCAAAGGAAAATATTCATTTATTCTACATATATCGCACCATTAAATTTTCTAAAGTGACTTTTGTTTTAAATATCGCTGAAAAATCTATCAAAAATCTATAATATAATATAGGAATACAACATTTTGTTCAGTGCCCCTTTGCAGATGCCACAACTTTCCGATTCTGGCTATATATACATATATATGTACATACATATATGCTGGCGATTAGACGTCAGACACCACCGATTCAACATTCAATCATGCCATTGTTTTCCCTTCGCTTTTCGCTCTTCGATTTCATTTCCATTTTCCCACTGCACTTTGCCGTGTTTTGTTTTTCGAATTTGGTATTTTGTATATATATATATCCCCTTTTTTTGTCGGATTTGTCGTGTCCAGCTAATTGTCTTGTCATGCGGGCCTCACAAATGAGGGGGCACTTCGCCGGGGGGCGTCATGGGATGAGTCAGAGACCAACCTGGGTTCGGGTTCAACTTGTTTCAATACATTTTTTTCTCTAAAACATTTTGTGTTCGGTGATTTCTCCTCCTATAGCTATAGTATTTATTTTTAGATGCAAATCAGTCGTTTGTGGGGAGTTGTGGGGGGTGGTGGTGGTGGTGTTAGCGTGGGTGGGTGACAGCGTAATTTTCTTGGCAAGGGGCGGCAAGGTCAAGGCGGCGAAGACGACGACGTCTCCACGGGTTCGGACTCACCTGAGCAACAAAAAAAAAAAAAAACCAAATCAAAAAGAAAAAGCTCCTCAATGTGTCTCTGTGTCTCTCTATTTCCGTTTTCACCTGATAGCGGGCCAAGTTAAGGGGGGTTATATTTAGTTTCTTTTTTTCTCTGCTGATATTTTCCGTATTATATTACATTGAAGATGATGATGTGATAGAAAGTGCTTCGATTGTTAGAGTATTTGAAGCATTTATTACAGTAATAGATGTTGCAATTTGGGGGATTATGGAATATGTAATACAAATATTTAAAATGCTACCTATTTCCTTTTGTTTTATTTAAATATGTGCATTGTTTTATATCCCAGCTGAGTTAATTAATCGATAACAAACCAACATCTTTCACAGAAAACTAGTCAAGCAAACTTTGCTAACGTTTAAACTTTAATATTAGTCTTAAAATTCAGTTATGGGATTTTTTAGCTCATAAAAATAGCTCATAAACGTTTAGTTTATTATTAAAAACCTATTAAACCACTTTTAATTAATTTTAATCGCCTTAAAACATCACAAATCGGTTAATTATATTTTAAATTCTTATAATTCATTTTAATTTTATATTTGAAACCCAATTTTCCAGCTACTCACCGACAGATACAGCAGCAGCATCGGGGATAGATATAGTCCGCACTATTATCAGGTTTGTCCCTGCCTTGCACGAAGATCCTATAAATGTCGTTTGTCGATTTTGTATGAATTAAACCCTAAAAGATAACCCGAGTTCGAGTTTAAATTTCGAAACTAACCAAAGTTGAAAGCTAACTCAAATTGTATATATATATATCTCTTCCCGTACCTATATATATATGGGCCATTGCGAAAATAATGCTAAAAATAATCTCCACATTTTGTGCGCTTCTCATCGCGAACAGTTTTAGAACAATTAACCCACACACACCTTGGGCTATATATAAAAATGTATTTGCTAAGATCTACATGATCAGTCACAATAGATCAACGGCGAAATGTTAAAGAACTTTGCCGACGACAGATGCTTCATATAGATAACATATATATACTTAAATATATATATATCTTGTATTTGTGATCTCTGTCTTGCTCATTTTCATTTTCAGGGTCGCATGCCGCGACAAAAAGCAAAAGTTTGCTGAAACGTAAACACCCAACCCCGTGCCCCTTTGACGATTTTGTATTATGACAATTCAGACAGCCAATACGAGGGGGGTTGTGGGGTAAATATATATATATATATAAATCAAAATAAAACTGCAGAATAAAAGTTTTCACTTTCTGTCCCTGAAAAACTCTCTATACAGAGCGCGACCCCGACCGTCTGATTTGTCATCCTTTGTAACCAAATTGCGACCTTCGCCTTTGCCATAAATCTTTGCCTCCTTCCCTGATTTTTGACTTGGTTTTTCTTCCATTTTTTCTTTTTGGCAATTGACGCTGGCTTTGTGATGTCATGGCGGGACAATTATATCTGGGGGAATCCTGGGGGGATCCTTACAAGCCTGCCAAAATATTTACCAAAATCTAATTACGAAAAGGAGACTACTGGGCGAACTATAAGATAGTTCCGGGTTTTATGTTAAAGCGAGTGTGTTAAAGTTGTTTCAAGTAAATGGAAAGGGTGTGAACTATCAAATTTCTTTATGAAGAGTATAAAGATATTATTATTGAATATGAATAATAGATAAAAGTATTATAAGGGTGTTAATCATCTGCTGCTTTTACTAAAACAAAGCCAAGTGTTGTCTTAAATGTGAAGCATGATGAAATGTTGTTTGCTGTTATATTGGGATAATAATTGGGAGATCATAAACTATTTTCCTATCAATATAATTGACATTTTCCCATTTTTTCTCTCTGTGCAGTCACCCAGCCGCTTGGAGACCTCCGAACAGACCACAGGCCGCCAGCTGCAGCGTGTCCTGCACTATTCAATGGCCCCTAGCCGGGCTCTGCCAGGACTCAGGAGGGCCGAGTGTGCCATCCATGATGTTGACTGTGATGAGGTCTATCCGGGCATCTACATTGGCGATGCGTGAGTCCTTAGCTCAATCAGTTATTGATTAAATCAATACTATATAAATATTTATTAATAAATCCTTTAGGGCGGCGGCTAAAAACAAAACGTACTTGAGAATGATGGGCATCACGCATGTCCTGAATGCGGCCGAAGGATGTCGATATGGTCAGGTGGACACCGGACACAGTTACTACCGGGATATGCCCAGCATTAGGTAAGTATATAGGAACTCGGAATCGAAATAAACAACGACAAAAGGCAACAACATGAACAATCGAAAGGAATTTCGTTCAAAATTTGTTCATATTTTGTTTTGAATCGCATTATTGACTTTTTCTTATTATTTATATATTTATTTTTATTCCATATTGCACCTTTTTCCAAAATTTCTTTGAACAAAAACAAAACAAACTTTTTCCTTTTTATCTTCCTCTTCTTTTTTTAAACGTTTTTTCCACACACTCAAAAATCATGCCATGTTTATATCATATTGTCACCCCACAAAAATTGTTTGGCTCAACCTTTGTTGTTGTTGCTGTTTGTTGTGTGTCGTGTGTGTGCGTGTGTATTTTTTTTTTGCTGTGTGCGAAATAGACGCAACCATAAGGACTGTGTTTTTAGGTATATGGGCTTCCCCATGATCGATGCTCCCACGACAGACATCTCGCGTTATTTCTATGTGGCTTCCAAGTTCATTGACAGTGCCATCAGCAGCGGCGGTAAGTTTGAAAGGAAGTTTAGGTGTCTTTACATGGTAATGAGTCCTTCAGTAAGCAGCAGGGATGATAAAAAAAAAATATCTATAAATTTCTATATAACAATACTAGATGGATATTTAAGGCCGAGATTGATACATAAAGTCATAAACAATTGGACTTTTAACGTTGCGATATAAAAATCGATTATTTTACGTTGCGATAAATGTTCAACAAATCGATATTCTATTTGATGTATAAATATATATTTTAACGTTGCGATAAATGTTTGGTTAATCAATATTCTAGTTGATATAACGTAACACAAAGTATCACTACTACAAAATGAACTATATTTCCGATACTTCTTTGAGCGCAATATTTTTGTCGATAGCATTTTAAACTTTTTATCTCGTTATACAACCCCAATATATTCCGATATTCACCCTTAAAGCTTACTAAGGATCATTTACCTCCCTCTTATAAAGTTATATCAATATATCAAAACTCTTTGACTAATCCTTCTCCTTTTTTACCATAGGCAAAATCCTGGTACACTGCCTGGTGGGCATGTCCCGTTCGGCCACCTGTGTCCTGGCCTACCTGATGATCTGCCGGAAGATGTCCGCTGTGGATGCGATACGCACGGTGCGAATGAGGCGCGATATTCGGCCAAATGATGGATTCCTGCAGCAATTGGCCGACTTGGATATGGAGCTCAAGCGCAAGAATCTATATCCCTATTAGGAGAGGGATCTTGGGATGTGATGGGAGCAAGAAAAAATAAAAACAACCAAAGAAGGCGGGAGGAGATCCCAGAAAACTAACCAAAAATAAGAAAATTATTATGAAATGAATATGAAAATTGAAAATTGAAATTGAAATCGTTGTTCTTAACAAAAACAAAAGAAATTGAAGCCTAAAAAGCTAACGACTTATAATGGTAACTTGGTCTTCTGATATATAAACTGTTCATCCCCAACAAAAAAAAACTGTGTAACTGTATAATCGCTGCATATATACCCATGTGTGGAACTCACACAATATATATACATACATATATCGACAGGGAATCAAGTTATCACACTCAGACTCTCACTCACGCAAAAAAACCCAACACAGAAACACACACACACACACACTTAGAGACCTAGATTGTTAGAGCCACGATCGAAGCAATAATCGGCGATCAAAAATCGATGTGTATCGGACCTATATATATACCATATATACCTTGCCTATATACCTAGACATACAGATTTATATACATGTATTCCGTATTTTTTTTGTAAGGCTCATCTCGGTTCGAGTTCTGTTCCAATCCTAATCCCCAATCCCCATCCCCATCCCTAAAACCCAACCCCAGGATATACTATATATAGATATATTCTATAAGAAGAGCTGAAACTAGATCATGAACAATGTATAGAGAAACAAAACGAAACGAAACCAGATGCATATATATATATATATATATACTGATATATAACTGTGTAACGGATATACAAAAGCATGCGTTATATACACCTATACCATATATATACGACTATATATATACACAATATATATATATACATACACCAAGTGTGAGCAATGTAATAAAACCAAATTCATATTTTCTAGAACATGTATGAAGTGCAAGAGCCGATAAGTATCGACAAAAATCGAAAAGAACAAATAACTAAAACCAAAAATCAAATGATCAAAACAAGCAACTTGAAACTAAAAAAAAACTTTGCCTAAGAAGTGATTAATAATAAACAAAAAAAAAAACAAATATATAAAACAAAACAAGACTAAAATTTTTAATATTTCTGTCATTTTCCTATTTTTTGTGTATTTTTGGGTGCAAATATATTTGAGACTCATGAGGCTAGTAGATCAAGATAGTTGGTCTATAAACATGTGCCTAAACAAAACCTCTGCAGCATTCATGGTTTGGCATCATGTTTCTAGCTATATTTTTCAACTCAGATAGTTATTTTTTCTCTATTCATGTTAAATTGAAGTTTGTAAGTAGCTTAGATAATCGTTAAAACATTTTTATACCCTTGCTGTGTATTATAATATTAGTCAGAAGTTTGCAACGCAGTGAAGGAGTCATCTCCGATCATATAAAGTGTATATATTCTTGAGCAGCATCATCAAAAATTAAAACAGTTTTTAACATATTTTATCTAATTTGAGTTAAAGCTATCTTTTATTATTATAGAATTTTGTTTTTAGTTTTATAAAAATTATATAGTATATATAATATAACTGCCTGGGAAACGGTTGTTAAATATAGAGGATCAGTATGTATCTTTCAACAGTAAGTAACTAGAATCAGAAATTAACTACGATCAGTATGTAAATATGAGCAGAAAGTAACTCTGAAGAGTAAGTACCTATGACCGGTAAGTAACTATGGTCACTAAGTATCTATAACCAGTAAGTATGTATTAACTGAATACTAACTTTGAACACTTATAAACAATGACTTGCAACTTTTGTAACACAACACATTTCTGAGACTTGGCTGGTAGAAGTCACTTCGTTCCGGGGATGTTAGAACTAGTTGGGAATTATATGCACAGATGTGCGAGATTTGTTTTGGAACTAAGTAAGTAACTAAGTAACTCTGAGCAGTAAGTAAGTAACTAAGTAACTCTGAGCAGTAAGTAACTCTAAACTGTAAGTATCTATAAGCAGTAAGTATCTATGAACAGCAAGTATCTATGACTAGTTAGTAACTCTGAACAGCAAGTATCTATGACTAGTAAGTAACTCTGAACATTAAGTATCTCTGAACTGTAAATAAATATGGTCAGTAAGTATCAATGACCAGTAAGTATGTATGATCAGTTACTAACTTTGAACACTAATAAACAATGACTTGCAACTTTTGTAACACAACACATATCTGAGACTTGGCTGGTAGAAGTCACTTCGTTCCGGGGATGTTAGAACTAGTTGGGAATCATATGCACAGATGTGCGAGACTTGTTTTGTTTTAAGGGCAAGCTAGTGGAACTAAACTATGGAGTTATTCTTCTATATAATTTTACTAGTATATAAATCGGAGCATGGCGAATCGGTGGACTATATATATTCATATATATAGCTGCCATAGGAACAATCGGAAAATTTTAATAAAAAAAAACACAACTTTTAAAGTTTTGAACAAATTTTCATCAAATTTGATGAATAGCCTTTTATATTTATCTACAATTTTGTGTACAATTTTATTAAATACGGACCCTTATATCATATAGCTGTCACACAAATGATCGTTACAAAAAGAGGAAAATGCAAAACGTTGAATATAAAACTGTAAATATAATATGTATAGGTGAATAAAATTAAAGCAGGCATTACTCTTTTTGTTTTTTAACTTAATAAATAAATAGATTAAATAGATTCCCAGAGGCTCCAGTCCGGTTTCAAGGCTTTCTTATAAGATTTCTTGTATGAGCATTTGTTTCTGCTGCTCAATCACTTTTGAATCTCTTTAAAGTCCCGCTAAAGTGTGAAGAAAATTGAATTCGATTTCAATTTCAGCTTCCAGTGGCCAGTTCCCACCCTTTGGGATTAACCCCTTCCCAAACCATGACACCGGGACCCCTTTTGTGGGGTCTCCGGGACATTAGATGCGCCTGCTAACTGCTTGGAAACACCTGCAGAGGCATCTTCTTATCGCTGCTGCGGGCTGCTCGGACTCACCTCTGTGCGTAATTAAAACAGATTATATTGGCTACCTGGAAGACTAGAGAACTAAAGAACTGAAAAACTGGGGCTAACCGCATAGTTGACCCTAATTTTAAACTATCAATAACTGCTCTGAACTGGACCCAAAACAGAGGGAACCGCCAAAACCGTACCCGAGAAACAAAGTCAAGATTTCGATCGTGCGCACAGTCAAAACAATAAAATTAATGTCTCCGCTTGGGTTCACGGGGTTCATGGCGGGGCCCGGGATCAGCGGGTGCCACTTAAGTGATCCCTGAAAATGGAATTCCACTAGAACCCTAAACAGGTAGCAGTTGTTAAGAGTCGTTGGACAACAAATATAACCACACCAAGCTGTGTTCAAGGTAACTAACATCGAACGATGCTGGAAGAGGTAAAAGTGGATGTTATATCCCTGAATATTTGGTATATTCGGTGTATTGTAATATTTTCTAATGTGTTATAAGTGGTAAGAAAATAAAGAGTCTTTCACAGAAGAAACTATCCCCAAGGAACTTGGTTTTACCTAAAGGAATATGTGTATAAATTGGTATATGCTCAGCTAAGGTTTAATATTGTATTCTTAACAGTAAATCGTATTGAAAAATAGTAAATATATATAAGAATTCAAACAATTTTTTTATAAACCAACTGTAATAGTATTCTTAAATTGCTGGCTATTCCAATATCTTGTAATTCTTTCTTTCACTTTCCATCTGATCAAAAGGCAAATGAAGACTTGCATGTCCAGCGGCTTTCTTTAAAATCCAACCAGGGATTGGTAAGGTTAAATTTTATAGTTTTCAGTTATAGTTTCCCAGACCTCAGAGTCTCGACTTTTGTAAGCTGCTAAATATCATTTTTCAAAGCAAACACTTAAGACCCGGGAACCCGCAGCTGCCCCGGCGACACATGTGCGTCGATTGGTGGGGGTAAATAGATGGGGACCCTATGCACACAGACATATAAAACAATTATTATAATTAATAAGTTAGTTTTGTCCCACGTGCCGGCACAAACAACACCCTTACCATCCCAATTCTCTACAAAAGTTGCCCTGGAATTGCGCGCCATAAGATTAAGCATGAAAAATGTTTCGAATTTCGTCTCCCGTAATTAATCTTCATCTGGGCGATATGCTAGCTCCTTCGTGTGAGGCGGATAACATGCAAAAGAGTTAAATAATTATAAGTACACACTACTCGCATGATGGTAAGGGTAGCAACCCTTTGTTACATGCATTCACTACAACAAATATTGGGGAAGTTATCTGAAAAGAAATGTCCAAAATATCACCCTAAATATTTATTCGATATTTAGAGCTTTGATATTAAACCTATATAAATACCGATATTATTGGAAAATATCTTTAACATTTTATTTAATTACTTGTTTTTTTATTTTTGAATTTATTGATTTCAAAGTGCCTTTTTCTTGCCGTGTAGCTGCTCCTGGTTCCCCTAGAAACACCATTGTTAAGCTCTACAAATAGTTGAGCAGCTGTGTCCTGGCGAATCAGAAGAATATATATGAAGATAGTGAATCAAGGAATTACCTTGCTATGGTTTTGTTTATTCACCTGCAATTCTCAACGAAATCTTCATAAGGATTTACCAATATAAATAAGTAAAGTTTCTTTGTAACAACATAAAAGAAATCATCAAAAAGTGGCATATTTAACATATTTCTGAATATCAGTTAAATATTTAATAATAATTAAATTAGTTCCAGCATCACCGGTCAAATCGATTTAGATTTATATAAAAGAGACTTATAAACAAATACTTATACTTTTTGCAATAAAAACTCAATATTTAAGCTTAATTTCCTGCTCAAGCTATTATTTTCAGTCTCTTTAGTGACTGAATTTATATTAATTGTACAATATACATATTTTATTAATAGGTTTATGTTCACATACACACAACCATAGTCATTTCAGAAAAGTTTAATTGAGAGAATTTAATTAAATTGACCCACAAAATAATAAAGGAGTAAGGAAAAATGGAAATTCCAACGCATTTTGTAAAAGGGATTTTTATTTTTATCCGGAATTATTAATGAGCTCAGGAGCTTTGGGAGTCGCAGTAATTTGGAAGAGCTTAAGCAAATATTAAATGCAGTTTCTGGCTGGGCAAAACAACAAAAATGGTTCGTTCGTTCGTTCAAAAGGAAAATGCCAGATGGAAATGGTGAGATGGGGAAATTTGTGGCTGCTCGACGGAGTGAAAAACAATAAATAATGCAGCCAATTAAAACTTTGGCTGTTTGGCTTCAAATTCAACACCAACAAGGGCAACACCAACACCAACAGCAACACCAACAACAACACCAAACACCAATAACAATGGCAATACGTGTGGAAACAACAAAATGCTACAACTACAACAACTAATTGACAAACAACAGCAAATTGAATGCAATAAAGCACATTGCATGTGGGTTAACTTATATGCAGCACTGTTCCGATAACACCTCCCTATACATAAGTGTATCGAAAGCACGCATTAATCCATAGATATACAAGCTAATGGATATATGCAGCTCATATATAGTACATATATGTATGCTATGCTCATCTATCTGGTATCTGGTCGGTGTGATGTGATGGACAGACAACAATCAATTACAAAAAGAAAAAACATAATAATAATAAAAAC